AGGATAGGGGGGAGGGGGAATATGTTGAGTGGCTGGACATAAAGCTGGCAACAGCACAGTCACTGCAGCCACTCCGCCCAGCTCCATGGGGTCCCCGAAAGTGCAGGGCCTGGGGCAGTTGCCCTGATTCATGTCCCCCCTCCCCCACCCTTAGGGACAGCCCTGGTGGCAGGGAAGGTGATTGCATTAACTGCTGTTTCCCTGCCAACTTATTGGGCCTGTGGGAAGCCCCAGGGGCTGTAAGGTGTGGCTGTGTGCACTGTATAACCAGTGCATAGGATCATGTCAGTGAATGGCTGGATTGCAGCCATAGACCCACCTTGCATGCAGAAACTGGCTCGTGGTTCAACCCCATGCCATTCTTCCAGCCCACAGGGGCAGAAAGTGGAGTACCACTGGTTTATAATCTTTAACTGTGTTCAGTAGTATTCCAAGGCTAAGAAATTACTTCTGTCCTAAGGGTGGGCAGCTATCTGTAACTACTAGCATGATTGTTGCATTGGCTAAAAAACTACAGGACATCTTTATATTCGTGTTGCAGGAATAATTTAGAACTAGCACATTACAAAACTTATTTTTTTGCAGTGAATTGTTTCTTTTTCTTTCTTCAGGTACTATTGTAATTATAACAAGAATCTGAGGCACAATGGGAGACGATAGCGAATGGATGAAACTGCCCATTGACCAGAAGTGTGAACACAAGGTAGGAAGGAGATATTTTTCTTGCCTTGTTCTGTTTACTCAGTGAACATGATTCCTTTCTACTTCTGTATTTACTAATAGCACAAAAAAATGGTAGAATACTGACAGTCCTGCATTGGGTGGGTCCTTATTTGAAGCTGCCCCAGTTTTACTTCAGCAGAAAATTGAAGACAGTAAGTGGTGTTTCTTGAACAGAACTTAAATTTTGTGGTGGCCTAATCTGAATAGATCGGTTTGTGATATTCCACATGTATAATAGATGTGTCTATATCAGCTTATCAGCAGTTGAACTGCTGCTGGAAACCTATGAGGAGGGATGGAAAGAATTGACAGTCACCTAATGTTCGTTCTTTACCAAGAGAACAGTGGATGTATATTGTCTTATTGTCCAGCTTCCAGTAATTTGCAAAGAGAGATCTTGAGATGAGTGGTGTAGAGTAAATGTCTCGATCTATAGAGAAGAAACAAACTTTTACTGTTTTGAATTAATGTGGCTTACTTTTGGTTTTTTTGGGGGGAGGTAGAGGGGGAAATGTACTAAGATATCATATTTAAGTGTGCTTCTGTGCATGACTTCCTTTTTTTTCTCCCTAGCTGTGGAAAGCCAGACTGAATGGCTACGAAGAAGCTCTGAAACTCTTCCAGAAAATAGATGATGAGAAAAGCCCTGAGTGGTCCAAGTACCTGGGTCTGATAAAAAAATTTGTGACAGACTCCAATGCAGTGGCTCAACTGAAAGGATTAGAAGCAGCACTTGCCTATGTTGAAAATGCTCATGTAGCAGGAAAGTAAGTCCTTTTTTCCTTTTACTAGAGGTGCACTGATACTTTGATCCTATATCGGATCAGCACCGAGATGGGGAAAATTGAAAGCATCAAAAATCATCTTTTTGCCTGATGAGGCCATAACATGGCCAATAAATGCCTCGCCCCGTGCATGTGCACAGCCACAGCATGGACAGGGCCAGGAGTATACAGCCTGGCAGCTTGGAGACCAGCATCTGGCTGGTAAGTCTGGTGTGAGGGGAGGGAAGGTGTGTGGGGACAGATTGAGGACCCTGAGGGAGGGAGTGGGGCTGGGATGGAGCTGTGAGTGGCTCATCCGGAGGACATGGGGGCGGGGGCCAGGGGCTGTGCTTGGGGTGCGTGGCGGCAGCATTGGGAGGGGGCTATGGGAGGGCTACGGTGAATTTTGGGGTGGTTGCAGGCCCCCCCCACCAGCCGTGCTACCAGCGCCATAGCCTACCCTGTATGCATTGCAGCCCGGCCCAGCCCCTGCCAGGAAGAGCCTGGTGTACCCCTGCCCTGTGCAGATCTGGGGGCACAAGGCCCCCATGCCCTCTCAAGTTGCATGCAGGCAGAAACTGCACCCCGCGCCCCCTGGATGAGCTGTTCACGGCTCCGTCCTCTGCCCTGCCCTGGCTGAGCAGTGCCTACCCCTGCCCCACTCCCTCCCTCACTGCAGGGGGCCTCAATCTGTGCCCCCCCCACCTGCCAATGCTAGTTGCCCAGCTGCATATCAGAATCAGATCGATATTGGCCGATTTTTATGGCTCCTTAAAAATTGGCCATTAGTATCGCCCCATAAAATCTCTTATCGGTGTGCCCCTACTTTAAACTTTTACAAATAACACTGTAAAATGTGCCTCTCTTAGGAAGGGCTCTGTTAGCTCAGGCAGACATCACTTAACAGCATTTCTACATGTTACCCTTTTGTTAATTTGAGGATTTATTTTCTGATGTAGAGAAACTGTTAGTGGGTAGCTGTGAGTTTCTCTGCTGGTATGTTGTCTGTGCTGTCAGTTATTAGACTTTTCTGCTGCTGTTACTTTTAGGTTTTTGGACATAATCTCTTCCGAGATTATTAATACAAATTGGTGAAATTCTGAAATGGGAAAGAGTGAGGCACAAGAGTTGAAGAATGGATGGCAAAAGTTAAAGTTCCTGTTCTTAATTGACTGTAAAACTAAGTGATTTGATGCTTTAAATCCTCTCAAATGTTATAAGGAATTCACAAGTTAAAATCTTTCTAATGACATTTGAAAGTCTCACTCCTCTAACTCCAAATAGGGAGTGAAACTAATTTCTATTAAAGCCTTGCAATAGTACTTAATAGTCTACCAGATATTTGTGCCAATACTATACATTACTTTGTTTTAAAATGCATTTTCACAATAAACAGAGCTTCTTTTGGGTTACTGTGTGACTGACAAATATCTGAATGGATTTTTATTTTTGTTGTCTCTATAGTAATTTAATTTATCATTCAATTTACAGTGTAGTACAACCATCTCTTCCTAAAACTCAACTTTTTGGGTAATTCTTTTGGGTGCTACTGAAGATCTTGTGTGCCTGCTATCAAAGGATACTTCTTTATGGAAAAAAAGAGAAGTAGATTTTTTTTTTTTTTAATGCATGTCTAGGGCTGAGAAAATCACTTGGACGTTTTGCTAGTCTCATAAGGAACGTATAGGAATAGTGGTGTGGGATACAGTTGCTTTTTCTGTGGAGGCTGAGGTGAAACTTTGTATTTTTCTTTTTGATATGTAATGAGATTTCTTTTTAATCCGATGGCTTTATTCTGTTAACTTGGAGAGAAAGTAAAATGTGGCTGGAGGAAAGAAAAGATGACCAGTTAAGGGAGTCATTTTTCAGAATTTATTTGCTCAGAACAGCATGAAAAAACATAGACTTTCATACCTGGATTTTTAATATGAAATCAGCAAGCTAGTAGGTCAGCCTATTCTGCTGGATGTAGCAACAGGAACTGGCTAATCTTCAATCAGTAAGTTAACAAAGTGCCCCCAGAAATTGTTGATTACATTCTTATTCCAACAACTGGGAATTGCGTGGTTAGTACATGCAACCAGAATTGCGTGTGTACTGGCTGTTATGGACATACCTTTTCAGTTTTTGAATTAACTCTTGGATCTTTAGAATAGTTTGTCCTTGGCAATCCAGAATTGCTAGTAGCAATGCTGTCCCAATCTTTATAACTGTCTGCTTTCATAGTTTAATAGTAGAGTTTACTGAGCAAGATCCACTTTGCCAATAATTCAATGAAAAAAATGGCAGTTTAATCCATATTTTATATATTATCTCTGCATAAATTAGAGGAAATACTATATATTGTAATGATACTTTGTCAGTATCTAAAAACATAGCAGGCTACTATATTTAAGGGCTGGGTTCTGTAGAATAGCAGCCTGCCTCTGTGAAATAGCATATTCACCTTAACTTTCTTCTAAATCCCTCCCTGAACCCACTTTTAAAAAAATCTTGCAGAATATACTGTCGCATGCCCAGCTTCTAACTTTAAATGGTTCTGGTAATTTAGAACAAACGGTTCCATAGCAGAGTTTGCAATCTTCCTAGGGTTAGGTCTTATTGGGCTAAGCTTAGCTTGCAAACTCCTTGGGGATGGTCTTCATCTTCTTTTATGTGAAAAATACTGTTTTTGTGCACTGTACTTATAAAATAACATAAGGTTTGAAGCCTTGAATTCTTAAATGTCATCTCCTAGGGAGACGATACAGTCTAGGGTTAGCATAGTAGTATTTCTTAGTAGGCAACTGTTGATCCTTTTGAATAATGGTGTATGTGTGAGAGATCACCTAGACCTTTTGATGCGTATGCCTGGGCAGGACTGTGGAGGATTCCCAGACCTTCCATCCCACCCTTAGACCATTGACACAGAATCCAAAGGCCAGACTGAGTCCGGATGTTCAGTGCCTCAGTGGCTGTTATTATACGTGTGTCCAGGAATTGAACCCTGGTCTTGTGTGTGGCAGACTTGGATTCCACCACTGAATCACAACAGTGGGTTAATATTTATGAGTTTAAAATAATGCTTTGTGCCTACAACTGGCTTAGAATGTTAAATAAAAGGGACAATAGGCTCATGAAAGAGGGTGAGTGATGAGGCGCGCCCATGAGCTTGTCAGCAGTATGTGCAGAGTTCAGTAATGTCACCGTGGTTGACCTAAATAGGATTTAACTTCTATGAAGTGAGGTTTAGTAAGTTCTTGCCCAGATCTTGGGCATTACTAAGTGTAAATTTCCCCTGATGATAGATCTAATTATGTGCTCATACTATCTGAAAGTAAAAATTTATCTTCTTTCAGGACAACGGGTGAAGTGGTTTCTGGAGTTGTAAATAAAGTGTTCAATCAGCCAAAAGCCAGAGCAAAGGAGTTGGGCATAGACATATGTCTAATGTATATAGAAATTGAGAAAGGGGAACCAGTACAAGAAGAATTGCTCAAAGGTCTGGACAACAAAAACCCTAAGATCATAGTAGCATGTATAGAGACACTGAGGAAAGCGCTAAGGTAAGGTCTTTTTGTTTTGCTTTTTTGTAAAACCATGAGGGTTTATTATGTAAGCCTTTAGAGAGACTCCTGGAATTCTGTATTGCTGAATCTTTTTAACATAACTTTAGTGAGTTCATACAAATTGCCCTGAGAGTTGCTCTGGAGGATAGTCAGATGTAAGTGTTGTCTATCCAGTTGCTTGTCTTGTATCTGGGTCAAATTTACTTTTGGCAACTAGTTTGCCACGTTTTGTTTTTAATGAAAATGCTTCACTGAGTAGTATAAGATTTCTGGGCATTATGGGGCACATCCAGATGAGTGCGCCCATGCGGTATGTAGTGCCACAAACACGTTGGCAGCGCCACATACCGCACAGTCGGGTGTTCTCCATGCTGCAAGGGTGAGCTGCCCTAAGCCTCTTTTTTCCCCCCCGTGGGATAGTTTTTTGGGGTTTTTTAATTTTGTTTAGTTTTTTTTAACCCGGGGTGGGGGCACACTGGAAAGTGAAAAGTGAAGCCGGGCTGCCTGGAGTTGTGCTGTGGCTGCCTGCCAAGCTCTGCCTGGCAGGATTGCTGTGGCTCCAGCCTCAGGAGGCCCCCAAAACCCCAGGGAAAGCTGCTGGGGCCAGTCCAGTGCTGACCCCAGCCTCCCCTACTGCCCCTGGGATAACTTGCCACATGCCAAAGGTTGTTATATCGGGGCTCATCAGGAGACCCTATCAGGAAAAATGTAAGTTAACTTGTCTTAATTCAAGACTGCAGCCTTTTTCCTGTTACTGTTTCTTAAAACCAATTTTCCAGGGAGTTACTTGTATCATGTAACTCTTGGAAAGCTAAACAAAAATTGCACCTGCTGGTTTCTGAGCCACCTGGTTTCTGTGAGATGACCCTGGCTCACTAATTATCTGGTTCAACAAGTGAGACAATGGCACATACCTTAACTGCAGTTTACCTCCCAGGATAGTCAAGGGAGATTCTAGCATGATTTAAAAAAAAGAAATGGGTCACAAGCTTTAGTCTTTGGATTAAGGACTTTGAAGCAGTTTAAAGACCTGGTTTTGTCATCCAGATCTGGGTTTGGGAGGGACGTAAGTGTGATGGGGTGGGTGTTTTTAAGTCTCAGACATCAAGTAACTACAGGTTCAGACTACTGAATGATGACAGTAAATACAGAACAACTTGATAATAGTGTACAGTGTGACAAAACTTAGTACTTGCCTTGGTTTATGAAAGGCATCAGCTATACAGGTAACTCTTTGTCTAGAGCCCCAGCTATGCCAAGATATTAACTTAAGTGGATGACACTTTTTGTGAGTGAGCCTTCTAGACTTTATACTTCAGCATTGACCCGCCTTCATATTTTTATTTTTCAGTGAATTTGGATCAAAAATAATCTCACTAAAGCCAATAATAAAAGTATTGCCAAAACTTTTTGAGTCTCGAGAGAAGGCTGTTCGAGATGAAGCCAAACTCCTTGCTGTGGAGATCTATCGTTGGATAAGGGATGCTCTGAGACCCCCGCTACAGAACATAAACTCTGTCCAGGTATGCTATTGGTAGTATCTGAGTGAGATATGAATGAACCCTTGGTTCAAACATTTTCTGTGTTTTAAAATGCTTCACAACCTCCTTATATGCCAGATAGGATATTTTCACTTAAATCTCTCTTGTGCATTCTTGGCTTGCAGGAAACTTACTATTGGCCAAAAACTTCCAAGCATTGTCTTCTATAAAATAGTTTCTTAAGCTTCTGTAGCTTTATAAATGGAAACTGAGGTTCCGCATTCTAGCTGGACTCAGGAAAGACTTTCTATGAGTCAAAATAAAAAGGATGGTGATTCTTCTTCTTTGTGAAAATATTTGTCATCCTTTGTGCAACTAGCTAGTTGGTAAATGTCTTGGATCAGAATTGGCCTAGTCTAGCAGTTCCCAAACTCTGTCAAATTGTGCACCACCAGTTTAAAATGATACAACCTTAAATACCACCAGCAAATTTTTCAGTTCAACCTTAAGTACCACCAGCAATTTTTTTGTCACATACAGTAATTTATAATAAATCTGTTAACACATACCACTGACAAGTTGTCTGCATACCACTGCTGCACCACAGATTGGGAACCACTGGCCTAACGCAACCCTCCCTGTCCTGTAAATTTGTTGCCTTTATTATATGGTATAGTAGAAAAGTGAAACTGTCCTATACTCTCAATCATTTCTCTTCTTTAAAAAAATATCTAGACTATAACCCCTTCACATAAGCCAGTTCCAATCATTCTAGCCAGATTGTGTAAATATTCACTGCACTCTGGTATTATTCTATGTAACGCACACACTTAATTAAATAGTAAATTTATTGTGCTGCTGGTGGAAGACTACCTCTAGCCAACACCACAATAGCAGAACAAATATTGTAGTTTAGTATAATAACATTGTAAGTGAACTATTGCAAGGATACCCCATCCAGACAAGTTTAAGAGCACTCCTATCAACTAAGGAGGAACCATACTGCTTTCAGTAATGTTTTGTTTGGCTGGAATACATATTATATTAGTGATGCCTTGTGACTTTCTGCAGCTAAAAGAGCTAGAGGAAGAATGGGTCAAAGTACAACCAGCAGCTCCCAAACAGACTCGATTTTTACGTTCTCAGCAAGAGCTGAAAGCAAAGTTCGAGCAGCAGCAGGCAGCTGGAGGTGATGCAGATGGAGGTAATGTATTTGAACTCAGTCCTCAGTTGGGAATACATTATTATTATTCCAAGACCCATGATGAAATGGAACAGGTGAAAAAGGTGCTTTTAATTTAAACTGATATGAAGGTGTGTAGAGCACACCAGGCCTTCTGAAATGACAGCTGGTGGAGGAAATAGTAACTGAAAAGGCTTCCTACTTCTGGAGTAGCAAATTTTTCCTACCATCTATATTCCACTTTCGTTGCCATCCTTGAATAAATAGAACATGGGGATAGTTGAGAATTACCCAAGTTTCTCTTTTCATGCTTGTCTGTTAACCTGTTATCCATCTGCAGGAGGAGATGATGGGGACGAGGTGGTCCCACAGGTGGATGCATATGAACTTCTGGAAGCCGTGGAAATTCTTTCCAAACTTCCCAAAGACTTTTATGACAAAATAGTGAGTACAGCTTTAACTGCTCCTAGTTAATCGTATTGAGATCCCATACCAAGAGATGTGGGCTGATGGTGTTTAAAACTAACTTATTTCCTGCAGAGTGGAGTAATGCTACATAAACAATAATAGGGAGATGGTTTGCAAAATATCAGGCCTTTAATCTGTCAGCAAAATGGCTATAAGATCAAGAAAGCAAGATGAAAGTTGAAATGTACACTCCAACATTTTGTTGCAACCACTAGGCTTACAATAGATGAAGACATTAAAAATGGTTGAATTTCTTGGGTCAAAGTTAAACTGTCTTAAAACAAGTTTTCCTGGAGCTGCTAAATGTCTGTGCTGTATGCAAATGTGGAAGCATTGTCTTGCAGGAAGCCAAAAAGTGGCAAGAGAGGAAAGAAGCCCTAGAAGCTGTTGAAATTCTGGTGAAGAATCCCAAACTGGAAGCAGGAGACTATGCAGATTTGGTTAGAGTTCTTAAAAAGGTAAATATCTCTGCACTGTGTATAGGAGGCCTTTGTCTGTCAGTTAACTCCTTAATTCCAGAAGACTATACCTCACATCTGAAAGGGCACTGTTGAGCACTTTTCTTGAACACAAGTCCCATTCCTAATACTGTGTATATGCAAGTTATTTTCAGCAGTACATCTTGAACTGATGAGACCCTTTGGGTATTTAAGTTCTTTTGGCTTTTTTGGAAGTTGGTGAAATGTGTAGGTTTGTTAGAGGTCTGTTACAAAAACAGATTCTCCTCAACCAAAGATAATTGGCCTGTGTACAACTACTTGTAAAAATAGTTGAAGGGCACCTTGGAATAAAGCAGGTTGGTGAACAGTACTACAGAGCACCAGCTCATCCCTCATCTTGATTACTGTATCTGACACTGGACACGTCTACACGTTCATTAGCTACTAACAATGCACCATAATCGGCGCTACTGTGCATTAGCACAGATGAATGTTTGGTTTTTTTTTTTTAGTGAAGTTAATGCTCATGAAACTAAATTTGCATTAACATGGGTTTTGACTGCCACGTCAATGTGCAGTAGAACTAGTGTTCTACACATTAAGTGTCTTGTGTAGACACTCCCACTGTTAAGGATATGGCAGAATTGCAGGGAATTCAGAGAGGTACAGCTTCCTACTTATGGAAAAACCTGTTTGTGAAGAGTGGAAAAAACCCTGAGTGAGTGCTTACTTTTGATGGAAATAAAAAGGATAGAGACAATGGATAGAGAGTATTGAGCTCTACAGTCACACTTGCAGATGTTCAATGAGCTGATAATTCCTTACTCAGCACAAATCAATGGTCCTCTGAGAAACAGATGCCCATTGCCTAGAGAAAATAATACACAGATCTTTTTATTATGCAAAAACAAAGACATTTGGTGAAATTAAATGTAGTACTTCTAAAGGCTAAATACTTTGGCAAATATATGATAATATATAGTTGTCATATAAATTTGAAGGCAAAGTAACTGTCCAGATTTAAAATGGATTGGATATTTGTATTCATAATTTCAGTTGTTATGGTAAAGATTTTAAAATAGAAATGGAAAAGAGAAAAAAAAACATGTTTCAGAGAAAAAGGCAACTTTTGATTTGGTTTTGGTCAGAAATACTAGGGCAGTTGTCTCGCAGGTTTCTGCAACAGGTAGTCGTGAAATGTTCCTTTTGAAACTGGTGCTGCTTACTGTAGGGGGATACTCAACCAGATAGACCTGTTGTTTCTTCCCAGAAGGTAGCTGCTGTATCCTTAATCTTATCCAAGAGACGGTAGGGCAGGGGTGGGCAAAATGGTGGATTTGGCTAGTGGCTGGACTCCATTTCCAAGCGGCCCCTGCTCATATTGATGTGACAGTCTCCATGGAAACCCTGGCCCTGAACTGGCCCCAGCAACGCTGTCAAGGAACTGCTCCCGGGTTGGGACTGGGATCTTGTAGTGGTGATGGCATGATCCAGAGCTGCTGTCCGCTGCCCGCATGCCCCAGGCACCCCCTTTCCCTCGCCCAGGTCCGTGGTATGTAAGCAGTGGATCCCCAGCTCCAGACCATGTTGTCACCACTTCAGGATGCCAGCCCTAGCCCTGTGCAGTTCCCGACCCAGCTGCGCCCCCTGCCAGCGTTGATGGGGCCAGTCTCCATAGAAACCCTCAGCCCACACTGTCACAGCTACTGGGGTCTCCATGGGAACTGGCTATGCAGGCAGGAACCGCTAAGAAGCGGAGCCCACTGTGGGCCGGATCCCACCCATGGGCCAGACTTTGCCTGCCCCTGCTCTAGGGAGTGGTCATTTCTTCCCCATTCATGCCAAACTACCTAGGATAATGGAACCAGATGCTTCTGACATATTTATTACAAACCTAATTTTCCAAGAGGATTATTTGGGGTCACCAGCAAGTAAAATAGTTCCCCCCCCCAACTCTGCAGCTTGTTGGCTGTTCAGAAGTATACATCCAGCTTACAGAGCGTCTGCTGTAATTATGCATCTGGTTGAGAATAGTGCAGGGGCAGGCAAAATATGGCCTGCAGGCTGGATCTGGACCACCAGGCACTTTCTGGCCTGTGGCACCCATCTATAAATTATGCCCACCCAGCCCCTCTGCCTGTGAGGGTGGGAGCGAGGTACCAACACCTGCCCCCCAACATACCCTATTGTGCCTCCCTCCTACCCTCATGGGCAGAAAGGCCTGGCCCTGCTAGCACTGGGGTGGGGCTGCTGCTGTGCCCTGCTCCCAGTGTCCTGTTCCCTCTAAGCAGCAAGAAGGGAAGTGGGGTGGGGGCGGGGCCTGCAGCTGGGTGCGGAACTTGGGGCTAGGGCTGGCGGCAGTGCGGAGCCTGCGCCCAGGGGGCAGGTTCAGTGCAGAGCTCAGCTGGACAGGGTGTGGGTGTGAGGGGGGTGTGGGGACCCCTCCCATACTCCTTCCCCCTTTCCCCCACATGGTGCACAGCCCCATCGGGCCTCTGTATTACCAACACTTCCCACACTCACACTGCATGGGAGGGAAGCCCCAGGCACAGGAGCCAGCTGGGGCAGGGAAGGCAGCCAGGTCCAGTGCCTGGGGCTTCTCTCCCCTGCTGCATGAATGCTGGAGAGTGCTGGTAATACAGGATGCCCGGTGTGGGCTGTGCTCCTCACTATAGAGCCCTTTACAGTACTGGCCAGAGCCAGGCACCAGTGCCATTGCCTTCTGCTGCACCATGGGGGTGACCACACACAGGACACCCCCCGCATTGACTACAGGAGAGAACAGTGTGTTCCAGAACCCCCAACCTACCTTCTACCCCACACCCTGCCACACGTACATAAACACCCCCACATACACACCTATACAATATAAAAGACTAAGAATTTATTTTGAGTTACGCAATCACCTCTATATACAATACACATCATGACAAAAATATTTTTTGTAATAAAATTAAAATATGTTATAGTAGGTGTTTTGACTTTGTGTATGATTTGGGGTTTTTTGGTTCTAAGTTGGCACCCCCCAAAGGAGTATTTTTTGGGGGGCAAGGACTTGTGGTGGCAAAGGTCAGGGGTTAGGGGTGGGACTTCTGGTCCCAAGATGGTGACCGGGGGAGGGGCAACTGTCAAGGGGTGGGGCTACCCATGTGGCCCTCAACAGCTCACCAAACCTTGTTAAGCGGCCCTCTGCCTGAAATAACTGCGAGCCTGTGGAATAGTGCATCTACAGTCCATGCAGCTGTTCATAAAACTTGCCTTTTAGACGTAAATATAGTGAAACATCCCCCAGTGAGAGAACAATATATAAATGCCTTTCCTAAGCTTTAGGTTTGATTGATACCAATCAGTTTTGTTCTTTGAAGTGGGTAAAATTTCATGTAGCCACTTTTCCTTTTTTATTCCACTGGAAACCCACACTGCTTTCTCCTGACTTTCAAATGTCAGTTAACCTTGTATTGCCCGAGTACCTCTAAAGTGTTCTCCTGAAATGGGCCATGAGAAATATTATTGTTCCAGGACATATGCTTTCTAAATTGAGGCAGATTAATATGAAAAGAAAAAAAATATAGAATCCCTTTGGGGGGGGGGGGAAAAACTGGAATTTAAGGCCTACTACTTACCTTTGACATTGAAGGCAGTCCAGCTGGGGTCGAGTGTGACATCTGTTTTTAAAAAAAAAAAAAAAAAGAAAGAAAAAAAATGCACTTCTTGAATTCTGGGGCTTGTAGTAGGCACAGTCAAACCAAATGACCTTTTCAAATCTGATAACGAGGTATAATTGTATAAACTTTTCTAAGCTTCTCTGAGAAGGGGGCAAACGTTAATTGTGGTGCATAGCATTTTAATATGAACCACAATAGAAACTTAAGACTAGCCAACATTACACACGGTTACTGATTAGACAGTAAATTTTTGCTTCAGAATACCAGAACAATGATGAATAAAGTTTTTGTTTTATTAGCCAGCTCAAATAGTGTGAGCTCACCAAGTACCTTTTTCTCTCTTCACTTTGGATGTCACTGGCTTTGGCTGTCCATTTCAATGCTAAGAATCTTTTACTGGTTTGATCTTTAATGCTGTTCTTTTTCAGGTTGTTGGGAAGGACACAAATGTTATGTTGGTTGCTTTGGCTGCCAAATGCCTTGCTGGTCTGGCTACTGGCCTCAGGAAGAAATTTGGACAATATGCAGGACATGTAAGTAAGAGTATGTATTTTACTGTTACCTTCTTGGTACACGAGTAGTAAAGTTGCTTTAAAAAATAGTTCTGAGTTTGTATAGCAGCTTGAGGCTAGCATTTCTGTAATAACGTACATTTGACCTGTATGTGTGCATATTGTTTCAGAAATGTTTACCCTTTAATAACTAGGAAGTTGCATGCAAAGACTTCTGATTATGGCATTAAGTTAAAAGTACCATGCTTTGTTGTTGAGGTGGGGGGGGGGGGGGGGGGGTGGGGGGGGG